CCTTTTTTTCTGTGCACAGAAGATATATCAACATTTCTATATTGGATTCTTCTTTTTGTTTTTCTTTTTGCAGGTTTTGAAGCATCAAAGAAACCTGTTCCTAGGTTAGTATTAAGCAGTTTGGAATATTGAACAGAATTTATATATATATATATATATATATATATCGATTACACAAACATATGCGCCCATAATTTATCATGTGTTTACAATCATGTTAAATATGTTTAAAAGTAAAGTGAAACTCGAGCTTGTATTCATATGAAACTCTCGTCTTCAAGGGGATTAAAAAGAAGTTAATTTGAATGCAGAATGAAGACATGTTTCGTAATGCGGAAAACGAAAATGATTCGGTATTTATTATCACACCAAAAATGAGCATCCCTTTTCTAATACAAGTATTTGGAAATTAGCTCTGTGAGATGGCTATGAGATGGCGCTGTACAATAAACAGTACGCTACTAGGGCAGAAAGTTGAACATGTTAGTATTGATTTAAATGCCTTATAAAGAAATAACATTTGTTTTTTTGTCAGAGAAAACAGATGCGTATCCCATGAGGCGAATGAGAACATGGCATATGAGATGATTCAGACCGGAGATAGCGGTGAGAAAATGTGTGAAATCAGTCAAATGTTTGCGTTGGAAAATTTATTCAGAACAGTAGTGGAGATATTTATGACTTTGTACGTAGCCAAATAAATGTCTCATAGTTATACAAATACTAAATGATAATCATGTCGCCCCAAACTCCCTCCCCCCCCCCCCCAATTAGGGTACGCATATGCTTGCTCCCTCCATTTGAAAAGCCCCCCCCCCCCCCAAGTCCAGTGTGTAAAGTCAATACGGCCGGATTTCTGTGTACTACGTGCCGGACTTTGGTGCGCGAAAAGTACCCCTTTTTTGGACATTTTGGTAACACGCTTGATATCCCTTCGTTCCCGGAGTAGGGGGGGGGGGGGCGGGCCCAAACTGACAATATTTCGTAACTATCAAGTGCATACTTTGTATCAATTGATTAAATTAGTAGTATATTTTCCGAAGAAAACATAAGCTTAATCATTCTCCCCGATCATATTCATGCTTGGTCTACTACTCAACAGAGGTTTAAAATCTTACCTCTGATAATAGCCACTTTTTTTAAATTGCGAATTCACATCCCTTCCCGTACACACACGCATACACACACTCAATGATTAGTTTCTGGTGAATACTCTTTCACGTTCGTTTTATATTTCAAAAGAAATGTAGAATGATCGTCCGAGGGTAGCTTTAACCCTTTTTTAGAGTGTAAAAGATTGCTTGCATTTTATCTTTTAAATAATAGAATCCTTGTGATAATATTTTGTTTTTGTTTTTATTTTATAGCATACACAGCCCTCAAACTCGGTCCATCCTACTCCCCCATCATTGCTCCTGGAAACGTGACGTTTTTCACTAGACTCGGTTCAATCGGACGGGGTGATTTCGGCGAGGTATGGAAGGGAGAACTCCGCTCGAATCAAAGTCAAGTAGACGTTGCTATCAGGCAGATTCCAGGTGAGGTTTTGCCAACCACTCCTTAAAAAGACCGAAAGGGAAAATCGCTTTCATGAATATCAATGTAGCCTAAAATAACTTGAACTTCATGAAACGTTGTATTTATCATTAATAATCACTAATAACACATCGCTTGTAAAGTAAGCCATTTATTATGTTCTCTTAGATCAAGTGACCAAATCAAGCAACGTTCTTGAAGCTGTCAGTGTACTTTCTGAGCTAGCGGATCAGCCAAATGTTGTCACGTGCCTGGGATATTGTCAAGAACAAGGTAAAAACCTCCTCCGGTAAAAAAAAGCTGTCCATTGTCTGCCAAATATCATACTTATTAAAGGCATCATTTAACAATGCTAAATCTGAGATGCACTGCCCTACGTGTTATCAATGTCTGTGATATGTTGTAATATTGAAGCCCCCCCCCCCCCGAAAAAAAAGAAAGAAAATCGCCATTCAAAATGATCAAGAAGTGCCTCACAAAATTAAAAGTCTTTGAGTGACCGGTTTTACCATACTCGTTTTCCCCAATAGACTGTAGTGTTATGAAAACCGTTAGGAACAAGCGGAATTTGGTTTCGTTTTCCAATCATATATATCTTGATAATCAGACAGGCGATCGGCTTGTAAAAGTCATGGGGTTCCTGACTGACCTAAAGGTTTATACTTATTATTGCAGCATGAGCTTAATCCAGGATTTTGTTTCAGAATCTGAGACAAAGTTACCAGATTCCTTTAATGTGAATATGAGAATTTTATCTAATAAATTCGGTATAGGTAAGGGTATGAAACATTTTTGTGTATGCTCCGCGCCTGACGAACAAGGAACGATTTAATCAGTAAAACAAGAACTTCAAGGTCTTTGAAGACCATTCCACTCTATTGGATAGTTAATGTTTTTCTTTTAATAAAACGAGATTTTTGATGAAACACAATGTAACAGCTGAATTTCAACACTATCACAATAGCCTTTGTACATCCTGTTAAATCATGTTCGGATTTCGTAATAAGACATTGCCATGTTCCCACATAGGGGTCGCACATGGCGATTAAAAAGGCGATAGATTGATTTTTTTCCAGGAAGTAGGTGCTATCGTGTTTTTCATACATTTTTTTTTACTTCAATTGAACGAATTGCCCTTGATGCAGGTAGCATTCTGTATGAGTTCATATCTGGGGGTACCCTACTCACCCATCTACAGACAACGGGGGTGGAGTCCCAACCCACATACGGCAATCTCAAACCAAAGGGGGTTCGTCTCGATGAAGGTAGTCTACTCAACTTGGCTTGGCAAATTGCAAAAGGGATGCAATTTCTTGGATCTAAGAAGGTAAAATTATTTCAAGAGGAGAGGGGAGTATTCTTTTTTTAAAGGAGGAGATAATGAGGAATAATTGAGAAGCCGAAAAAAGGAGACAATGAGGAGGGGTGGTTGTGAGCATGTACGTTGAGGCCGAGGAAAAGGTGATAAAACATGAGGAACGATGCGAGAGTCGTAAATGAAATTCATAATGAGAATGGTGAAAATGAGCTGAAGCTTACTCCACAAATGAATTATTTTATAATGTTTTTTATTAATTTGTTTATTGTTACTGTTTAATATTTTTATTATCGTTTTTTTTAAACTCTTAAAGGTAATACAAAGTTTTGGGAAATTTTGAAAATTGGGTGGATAATGAATCTGTACAATTTTGATATAATTGGATGCCCCCATGGATGTATTATAAGCACTAAAACAATTAACCTCAGAAACACTCCTGTTTTCGAGAAAAATTGAATATAAAAATTTACCGGTGCTCCCGGTAAATTTTGGTAAATTTCAAATAGCGCTTACGGCCGTACAATGGTAGCTGCGACCATGAAAATCTCAGAATATGTAGTTGTGATATATAATTTTCAAACAGGAATAGCTAATCGGTCCAATATGCTTATTTGAACCGAATTCATGACCCTATACCAAAACTTTGTATTACCTTTAAGATCATCCATGGAACTCTCTGTGCTCACAATGTGTTACTAGCTGATGGAAGGCAATGCAAGTTATCAGATTATGGACTATCTTCATCATTGTTTAGCGACAAAGGTGTAAGTATTATCGCTTATATTCAATGATATATTGTCAGCATAGAAAAAAATATCGAAACATAATTGAAACTAGGAAAACGCGACCCATGGAATTATGTTTTATGATTTTTCACGTTTGTTATTGTTTTCCCTTAAATTATTTAAACACAATAGTATATATATATATATATATATAACCTGTACTGTACTTACTTTATCGACAGTGGTTTTTGTATAGTTTTGCCATTTGCTATATTGTATATTTTGTATACTTGTGAACAATTCAGCCTGCTAATCATGATTTGTGTTAAACCATGAATAAATGATATTAAATTATTTAAAGAAATGAAAAGAAAAACTGTAATTCTCAGAAACTTAACGTTAAGATGATTTTCAACCTTCTTTGTATTTTCCAACTTTTAAGAAACCAACAAGATGGAGTTCGCCTGAATCCATGGGTACTGGTGACCAATCAACATATGGAGATATCTGGTCTTTTGGTATCGTCTTGTGGGAAATTGTAACATTGGGTAAAAAAAGAAAAATAATATCACAACAAATTTTTCGTTTCATCCTAAAGACCCTGATATTATCATATAATACAGATTAAATTGATGATAAATGGAGATATCTGGTCGTTTGGTATCGACTTGTGGGAAATTGTGACATTGGGTAAAAAAAGAAAAATAATATCACAACAAATTTTTCGTTCCATCCTAAAGACCCTGATATTATCATATAATAAAGATTAAATTGATGATAAATAATAATAATAATAATAATGATAATAATAATAGTGATAATATTTGGTAACCATAGGAAGCCTTATCAGTTGTACAGCTGTTAATCCTCATGGCCTTTTCATTAATATTACCCTAGCAATATAATAGCCAGGTGGGTGGAATGGGTAGAGAGTGGCAACTATGGATTTACGTCTTACCGAAGGACGTTAGTGCCAGGCTGGAATTCGAAACCCTTGGAATGAAAGTCAAAAGAATGAACCACTATACAACGTTTCCTTCACTTTAAGTGGTTCATATGATGTTAGTAACTTAAGTAACATATATCATTGGAATTTAGTAATCAAATAGAAAATTATTGATATTTGTTTGGCGTACGTTAAGGACAGAGAATGCAAGTTACCTTTTCTACATTTTATAAGACCCACCGATAATAAGTGCGATTTTAGATTCATTGTATTGTTCCTATCACAATACATGTCACAGATGTTAATAACATTAGGTCTAACGTTTTCCCACTAGTTCTGCGTGTACTATCAAAGTTTGATAGAAAATTATATATGTGGTTAAATCTAATTCCTCCCAAGACCTCCAGATGCCCCATATTCATATATTGGATTAAATGTTTTACTTGTCATTTTTTTTTTATTATTTAAGGTGCGAGGCCGTACCCTAATATGACCTTTGACGCTGTTCAAACGGAGGTTGACAATGGTTACCAGATGCCACGCCCTCGTCATTGTGCACAAGAAGTGTAAAGTATCATGTTTTTAGGCTTTACTTTGTCTAGGCTTTTAGGCTTAAATGGATAACTGGAGACTATACTGATCATCACATACTGATCATCATATATATTTACATAAATTTACATTTTAAACACAAGATAAATAACAAAGGGAAATGAATGAATGAATGGTTATAACCTTACTATTTCTTGAATAATTTCATTGTATTTCGTCAATAAAACGCTTTGCTTATTTGCTATATGATATTGCATTTTTTTTAATGAATAAAGAAACAGAATTTTAATATTACTATTATACTCTTTACCATCATAGAGAATGTTGATATATATTATGTTTATTACGTAATGGCCTAAATTTAACATGAAGTTTATCATGTTTCCCTTTTCTTCAATATAACTTTTAATTTTGTTATAATATCTATTTTCTCATGAAAGTGATTATTAAACAACTTTCCATTTTTTTCCAAAAAACTCGAACCTTATTATATTTTAACAAAATAATAAAATTGGTTTATGTTTCTTTACATACATCAAACTGGTCATTGTCCATTATACGCCATATGCATAGATTATGATTTGATGGAAAGATATAAAGCACTACTTAAAAAAAACTTGATATATTATTTTTGTTGAAATTGACAATTTAAGACTTTCTGCCAAGTAAATGAAAAAGGTATATTCAAATAATTTACCCAGTGACGTGTTACAATAGGTTTTTTAAGTTTTTTTTCAGGAGGGATAAGTAATTCGCCTTCAAACTGAATACTGTAGTTTAACGAATCTCCTGTAGCTACTCATATCCAATTTCAGTATACATTTAACTTATGGCTTGGAAAACATTTCTTAAATTTCGCGTATTCGAACTAAAATAATAATTGATGAATACCAACTTTACTATTCAACAGAATCGAATCTTTCCAACTTACATTTATAATCACGTGCTTCACTTTACACATTCATGTTACGTACCACATTGAGAACAATAATGTCGAATTGTTGATGTGATATGACTATTTTTCCATAATATCTCCTCTTTTATTTCTGTTACCTCAACCAAACCTCGATATTAAAAATTGTACCATGCATTACGAAGATTTTGATAAAACTCTGGCAGTCTATTTTGTTTACTTAACATATTCATATTTTTCTAAATATTTAAATATCTAAAGATATCTGGAAAATTTCCTATCATTTCGATCAAATATTTAGTAATGATTTTCATCTGCAAAATTTGTTCATCCAATAATTTGCTCATCAAAGATAAGTACAAAGAATTTATTTTCGATTCAATGTCTACCATATCAAGACTTGACATACATGTACATGACGATGATTGTTATATATATATAATAATGGATAGATTTAATGATGATGTTGATCATCAGATGCGGATTATATTTCTCACCGATATATATCTAAGGTAAGTTACACGAAAAATCTCTCCTTTGACTCTATATGGGAACCTGAAAATAAAACGTTTAGCACTTCTTTTAGATAAGTATCAACTTCTTCTTATCTTTCAGGTATACGGTCATGTCTGGTTGTTGGGAGAAGGAACCTACGAATCGGAGTAACTTTGATCAGACCCTCACGAGTTTGGAGAGGATTCTAGAAAAAGAATCACGTAAGATGAACTCAACTGCATTCTTTTTATATGTCCAATGCAGAATTTATTTTCCCCATGTTATATTCATTTATATAATCCCGTCGGTATATTAACCTCAGTTGAACAGGTATCATGAAAAACCCTGACTTAATAATGATCTTGAAACTTCTTTTCCTTTTTTAATGGTTATCTATGTTTTTTAATTTATTTATCTCCCATATCCTTCCGATGCCTTTTCATATATATTTAAGTTTTTTTGTATTCATATATAATCATAATTTTTCTTATTTTCAATTTTTCCATAGAATTAAGAAGGAGGCAATAAACGTCTCATATTGACAATTCCTTTTTTATTTGTCAACATTAAAATTGCAATGTGAGCGTCAGAATGACGCCGGGAAGAAATGCTTTCAGATCTAAAGCCAGGGTCAAAATACTACTTTAGTTTGATAGGCATCGTTTAATGTTTAGTCTGAGATACATGGTCCTACGTGCTATCAGTGCCTGTGATATGGTGTAACATTGCAATTGTTATTATTATCATTTTCATATTAATAGTATTATCATTTTGAATTTCACAGATTTACCTGTCTCTCAATGACTTAGATGAAGGATTGTTTGTGTCTACACTGGACATGTGAGATTAAGCCTAGGTCGGATATACAGCGGTACTACAATGCATCTTCACCTTTTTCGCTGTATGATGACTGGAACCGAGCCAACTAATTGGACTATAGGGACGTTGTAGGGACATTAAAAGGACTAACTTGTGTTAGATTTAGCCAAGAGTGCGGAATTAGGCTATCGCAAATACTTTAAAAAAATATTTTGCGTTGAGTTTAAGTCATTTTGAAAGATTTTCCTTTTTTTTTAATATCAATAAGTAGAATTTGTAAAATAGTTAAAGAAGTTTAATTGACAATGTCTGGATGTACAGCTATTTTAGAAAACATGAAATTTGTGAATATCAAGAGGCCCTAGTATAACAACTGATCTCATACATTCAACAGCAATTTTTTTGTTTTTACTGTGTGAAATTTATTTCTAATTACCTTGCAACGTTTGCCAATTTTTGTGTTATTTCATAGTATTGTATATGTGGATAACCTCCTACCCCCTTTCTTCTTTCTTTTCATCACCCCTCTCTCTCTCTTCTCTCTCTCTCTCTCTCTCTCTATATATATATTTTTTCCTTTGTTTCCCTTCTCCCCTCCGTCTGTCAATCCATATTTACCTCTCTCCACTATTCTCCTCTTCTTTCCATCTTTTGCACTCTTAGTCCTCTTTCTCACCCTCTCCCCTTCACCTGCCTTTTCAAAACATGGAGCTTACTTTAATATGGCTCACTCTTCCCTTTTATGTATCATTTACATCACACAATACTATTTCGAAACCTTCATCTTTACATTAAAGGTAAAGACCAGTTATGGTCATGCGATTGCATTGTGAAAGAAACGTTGTGGAATCGATCAGAAAAGGTTGATCATCCAGCATCTAGCATCTGCAAGGTTCTGGAATCATCAAAATGATAAGAAATTTGGCCCAGTCTTCGTAAAGTTACAAGCACTATACACAGAAAGATGTATATGGGACTACCCTTTATATCTCACAGACCATGAGAGAAACAAATTTACCAAATATACGAATTAGTAGGCAGTTTCCCGGCAAATTTTTTATCATCATGTATTAGTCAAAACATATTCTTTCACATGATTGGTAATGAGAGCTTCCATTTCATTTTTTGAAATTGGGGCGTTTCCAATACTGGTCTTTACCTTTAAAAACATATACTTCTCTTTCAATAGTAGACACACAATTATCACAATTTTGAGTAATTTCCAGTCGCATGAAGATTGTTTACTCGTATTTGTATGTTCCTGCTTAAAGGTAATACAAAGTTTGGGGGAATTTTGAATTGGGTGGATGGTGATTCTTTACAATTTTGATATATTTGGATGCCCATGTGGATGTATTATAAGCACTATAAGATTTAGCCCCTAAAACATTTCTGTTTTCAAGAAAAATTGAATATAAAAATTTAACGGTGCTCCCGGTAAATTTTGATGAATTTCTAATAGCGCCTACGGCCATACAATGGTAACTGCGACCATGAAAATCTTAGAATATGTAGTTGTGATATATAATTTCCAAACCGGAATAGCTAATCGGTCGATTTTAGTCAATAAACATTGTTTTATAGCTTAATTAATATATTGACCTTGAGAGGTAGCTATACAACATAAAACTTTAATTATTTACAATTTCATAACTTTAGACTCGATTTCAACCGCGACAACGATCACTGAATATTGTAGGATAGTATATGCTTCCAATATGTTCATTTGAACCAAATTCATGACCCCATACCAAAACTTTGTAATACCTTTAATGTATTTCTTATTATGTAGATACTTTTGTAAAATTATTGTACAATTCAGCCCCTGGCTGCGATGCAGTATTATAATATAATAACTATTCCTTTTATAGTATACTTTAACCCTCCATTAAAACCAAATAGCCTCGCAATACTATGTCTGATCGATTGTTGAGCTGGCCTGACCCCATAGGCACGTGCTCTATTCCCCAAAAGTTGAAAAATATTTGTTTACCTATTTTCATGAAATAAATGTTACATTTTATTTATTTTTGAACGATTAAGTTGATGTCTCTTTGGAACTTTATTAATTAATCTAGAGGGTCATAGAGATTTATCAAAAAAGTTATGGGAATAAATAAGCTTTATCTGTCGAGAAGAACAAAAATGTCACAATTACAACTTCATCGGCATCAGGGTATATGTTGGCCTGTGTACACGTGTGTGCGCGCGCGCGTGTGTGGGCGTGCGGGCGTGTATGTTTGTGTTGATTATAAATATGGAGGATATATTCTAATATCTAGTTCACAGTATAACTGTGCTAAGGTTATCTCAATATTGTTTAGACAGTAAAATGTCACCGTATGGCTCTACTGTTTTGATATTCTCTATTCTTCTCTTTTTTGCACAATTTTCTTTGTACATAATGTATCTACTGTGAAAATATTCCACGTGTTATATAAATATATATACAGCTCAGCACTTAATGGATACAGACCACAACATTCGGGAGTGTACATAAAGATATTTTACAACGCAACAAAATTGGAAAAAGATACAAGGAGATTCTGTATTTGATAGAGAGATCAGGGAAAGCATAGAATAACAATCTAGCAGAAAGGAAAGTGTACAATAACACACGAAAAGATGAAAGTTCATTGAAAGTAATAATAATAAGTGTAACTTAAAATCTAAGCATTTATCTTGTTTCTGTTTTCTTCATGATTCGCCACTTTCTTATATTTTTGAAAAAAATCATTTAACGGGCTAAATAAACTTTAGTATCAAGTGCCACTGGAATTCAATGTATGTCATTTCATATCGTACGTATTTGCAAAGATATATTTAAAGGTAAAGACCGGTAATGGAAACGCCCCAATTTCAAAAAATGAAATGGAAGCTCTTATTACCAATCATGTGAAAGAATATATTTCGACTAGTACATGATGATAACAAAATTTGCCGGGAAACCGCTTACTAATCGATACAATTGGTAAATTAATTTATCTATGTGCCTGTGAGAGATAAACGCACGTGTCGCACACGTGTGCGTAGTACCATATAAATCTTTCTGTGTACAGTGCTTGTAACTTTACGAAGACTGGGCCAAATTTCTTATCCTTTTGATGATTCAAGAACCTTGCAGTTCACACCAATACTTGTATGCTAAATGATCAACCTTTTCTGATCGATTCCACAACGTTTCTTTCACAATGCAATCGCATGACCATAACTGGTCTTTATCTTTAATTAGTGTATATTCATATCACTATTATTGATATCTACTCATATCGTAATTATTAGCAACGATATATTGCAACGGTTGAAGACGGGCAAAATGTTGTTACTAGCAAAAATGCTAAAATACATGTAGTAGTAATGATAATACGAATGAGAATGATATTAATTTTGCGATCATCAAATTAAGGCAAAGTGTGTACCTTTTCAACTCCAATAGCACCTCGCCTTGTGGATGTGAGTACTTTGAATTATCCAATGTTTGTTTCACATAATCAGAAATTATGATTGAGGGAGGGGGGGGGCTCGCAGTCTTAAACGATGCATGGCATTTATATTGACAAATAGAAAGAAAATGAAGAATGTGTTGGAAGGTTCGATGTAAAAATGTCAGAGGTAAAAACACCAGAAGTAAAAGTTTTAGAGATAAACATGTCAGAAATTGAAATGTTAAAGGGAACTACTGCCAGAAGTAATAATGTTACAGGTAAAAATTCCACAAGTATAAATGTAAGAGGTAGAAATGCCAAAGGTAAAAAATTCCGCATTTTTACCTCTGCTACTTTTACCTGGCCCCGTGTGGGAGGTGTTAGTATCGTCTTCCATCCACGATCCATCAGTCCCCTCTCCTTCATTTCCCCATTTTTGTTTCCCTTTTCCCCCCTTTTGCCTACGATGGGGCCTGGAGTACATACGTCACCCCTAACCATATACGCCACTGAGTACATTTCAGGTTGAAGCTCATTGAAGCTCATTCAGAGGCTTCGTTATTCCCACAATTGTTATTAGGTGTACCCGAAGTGAAATATATAAAAATGTCCAAAATTATATTGAAGTTGATCTCTGCTCTACGGAAAGACCTACAATTTGTTCCGTCATCGCTTTTGTATATATGAATTGAATTGAATATTAAATTGAATATGAAGGAAGGAAGTCCCTTCGTTTATTGACCATTTAAAACAACAAAATATACAAAACAACAATACAATAGAAGAATGATATCAAATAACAACAACAAACAAAAGTAATAATGGTCAGGGTCCCTGAGAAGCAAGACTGCTTGTAGTCGGGACCCTATATACAAGTACATTATAACATTAATATAAATTTAAATGTACACGCACGCATAACAAGCAAGCAAGCACACACACACACACACACACACACACACACACACACACAAACACACGACAGAATGGAGCAAAGATATAAGAGGAAGGAAAAATACAAGATAAAGAGAGATCGAGATTATTTAAAGAACTGAATAAACGTAACTTACACAATACTTTAAATCTGGATAGTGTTGTGCTATTTGTAATGTTACTACTTAACAAATTCCATTCATACACCCCTGTGAATCTAATTGAATTGCGAACATAATGCAATCTAGAGAAGGGTTTATGTAAATCTTGATGTTGTCTAGTTAAATGAGTGTGGAATTTTGAGTTTGTTTGAAACATGTTAGAAAAAACTTCTGGAAGGGCGCCTTTATTATATTTATACATAAAAATCCAGGTATTAAATCTTATCAGTTCGAAAAGAGGCATAATTTTATATTTAACAAAAAGTGGCGCGCTTGGAGTCATATAATGAGAGTTGGTCAACAGACGAACTGCTTTCTTTTGTAAAATAAACAATTTTGATAAGTTTGATTTGAAAGTATTGCCCCAAATTATAGTACAATAGTTCAGATGAGGAAGTAATATTGCATAATAAATATTAAATAATATTCTGAGGGGTAAAAAAATCCTTAAGTCTATAAAATACACCAATACATATTAATAATAGTCCCTTGTATCAAAAACATTGATATGCCCTTTAAAAAAAGAGAAGAGATTTCTGTTTATGTACGTATTTATCTGTTTATGTATACATTGATTGGCCAAAATTAGGCTTCCTAGGAAATGAAAAGAGGAAGTTACAAAATAAAAAAAAACAATTATAAGCCCTTTTTTTCGAATAATTTATATAATGTATCGATTATAAAACAGGTATATTCAAACAATAAGTATACCCTAGAAGGTATTGATAAAAGTAAAGACTGGAAATGTTTTATATTCATAAAAGGAAATCAGTGCAAACTAAAGGTGTATTAGTGTGTTAGTGTCAGTAGACACAGGATGTAGTGAAGCGTCTAGTGCAGTAGTGTGTAGAGATAGATTAGCATAGTGTAGTTTTAGCATAGTGCTTCCAATTTCTGCTTTCAGCTGCTGCCGCTGGCTAACCGCAAGGTGAAAAAGGGAGCCGAGTGCGTAAGCCTCCCCTGCCAGTACATAGCCTCTCCTCCATCAAGACTCTTACAGTGCCTCCTCGCGGCAACACACGGTAACTGGGTACCTCACGGTCCCAGGCAAAATTGTAAGGGATCTCGGAGTAGCCTTGGGCCCCAGAGATGCGGCGTGCAGGCCCACCGGTGTGTGGACATGCCCTGGCGCCCATCAACCAAGCTCCATCTATGGGTTAAATAGCCCCACCTATGGGAAAATAGGCGGAGAGGTTGACTTCGTAGCCCAGTAAGGCCATCAACCTACGAGTCGGAGCTCTGATGTAAAATCCCCCATTCAACCCGCACTGGGCCAGCGTGGATGGGTAGGCCCACACAAACCAGCATGACAGACACAAATAAGCAAAGGCCCCCAGTCCCCAGCAGCTCATTTGTTCCGGACCAAGGTGGCGGCCCAATAAAGCAAGGAGCAGGGGGTGCTAAGAATCCCTGGGTTCGGACAGGCCACCAATGGAAACTGAACATTGCAACCTATAACGTAAGATCACTACTTCAAGAAGAGAGACTACTGGAACTCGAGGAAGAACTACAAGGAATAAAGTGGGATATTGTCGGACTGGGTGAAGTCCGCAGACGAGGAGAAGAACTCACAGTACTGAAAAGCGGGCACCATTTCTACCATATAGGAAAGAAGAATAATAGTGAAGCAGGAGTAGGATTCCTGGTACACAAAAGCATCGCCGGTAACATTTCTGAAATAAAAGGAATAAATGAATGTCTGGCACAAATAACAATAAAATCAATAAGAGATACAAAATCAAGATTATCCAAGTCTATGCTCCAACTTCAACACACGACGATGAAGAGGTAGAGAAACTCTACGATGAAATAACGGACGTGATGAAAGGCAGTAAAACACAGTTTACAATAGTCATGGGTGACTTTAATGCCAAGGTCGGGAAAAGAGAGGAAGGAGAAGAAAGCCCAATCGGCCCCTCCGGAAGTGGACAAAGAAACGACAGGGGTGACCGACTTCTTGAATTTGCCATTAGCAACAAAATGAAAAGAATGAACACTTTCTTTAAAAAAGGAGCATCCAGGAAATGGACATGGAAAAGCCCAGGCGGAAACACAAAGAATGAAATTGACTTCATATTAACTGATAATCCTCACATCATCCAAGACGTGAAAACAATAAATAAGGTGAACGTGGGAAGTGACCACAGGATGGTAATGGGCAAGATGAAGATCAACACCCGACTAGAGAGGCAAAAACTCCTAAAACCAAAACAAAGTAGCATCAACCTAGAGAAACTAAAAGAGAAGAGAACAGAATTTCAACTGGAGTTGAAAAACCAATTACAACTCCTGACGGACAAATGCACAGACGAAGAAGGAAACAGATCTCTTGAAACATGGACTGATCTGCTAGTGGAAAAAACCCCAAGAAACCGCCATAAAGATCGCAGGGAAAAAACCAAAAACCCGTGAAAACAAGATATCAGATTCTACCAGAAAATTCATGGAAAAAAGAAGGAACATGAAAGCAGAAGGCATAGGCACCCACAATGTTGAATACGTAGAAACCTGCAAAACAGTAAGGAAAAAGCTACGTGAAGACATCCGTAGTTACAACACAACAATGATCAAATCCACAATTGAGGAAAACAGAAGCCTGAAGAAAACTTACAAGAAACTAGCACATGGAAAACAGAAAATCACAAGCCTCCTCGACAACGATGGACAAGAAATCACAGATCAGGACCAGATACTTCAAAGAATTGAAGAGTTTTATGAACAACTATACAATAGCAATAAAGAGACAGAAGATCCAGGAGAACCACAAGAAGAGATCCCAGTTGTAACTGATTGGGAGGTTCAACATGCAATAAATCAAATGAAGAGAGGGAAGTCATCAGGCCCAGACAACATACTTATAGACACAATCAAAGAAGGAGGAGACACAATTACTAACGAACTAGCCAAACTTTACAATGCATGTATATGCAAACAAGGAGGATACCACATCAATGGAAAGAAGCCACAATGATAATTCTGCACAAAAAGGGGGACAAGCGAGACCTAAAGAACTACAGACCCATCAGCCTCCTCTCAAACCTGTATAAGCTGTACACAAAAATCATCACCAACCGGCTAGAGAAAATCCTTGATAACAACCAACCAAGGGAGCAGACAGGCTTCAGAAGGGGTTTTTCAACTATGGACCACATCCACACCATTAATCAACTGAAAGAAAAATGCCAAGAGTTCAACATCCCTCTATGCGTAGCATTCGTAGACTACGAAAAGGCATTTGATTCTCACAACTTAAACGACCTCGAAATAATGCTGCAAGAACTGGACGATGAAAGCCGACTAACAGGCCTCAAAATGAACATGAAGAAGACTAAAGTCATGGCAGGATCAGCCAAAGATCCAAAACAAATCCAAGTGAACGGTACCAAAATGGAGCAAGTAGAGGAGTATATTTACTTAGGACAACGTTTCTCCCTCCAAGACAAAAATCAAGATAACGAAATAAGAAGAAGAATCAAAGCTGGATGGCAAGCCTTCGGCAGATACGGCGACATCATGAAAGGAAAACTTCCATTATGCCTGAAAAAGAAAGTATATAACCAGTGCATCATCCCAGCAATCTCATACGCTGCAGAAACATGGACACTAACATCAAAAATGGAAAGAAGTATTCTAAGCATCACATACAAAGACAGAAAAACGAACAAATGGATCAGGGAACAGACAAAAGTCCAGGACATCCTTGAAACAGTGAAGAGAAGGAAATGGAATTGGGCGGGCCACATCAGCCGTAGAAATGACAATCGCTGGAGCTCAGCAATCACTCACTGGACACCATATGGGGGAAAGCGAAACAGAGGACGTCAAAGAAAAAGATGGCGAGACGAGCTGCAACAGTTCTGGGGAGAGACAAATTGGCACCAACAGGCACTGAACAGAGGCATTTGGAGGCCTTCATCCTGCAGTGGATTGACAACGGCTGATAAAGTAAAAAAAAAAGAAGTAAAGGTGTGTTATTGTGTCTTTTTTATTTATATCATCTTATAAGTAAGTTTGAAACAATCCTAAATCCGTGTTATACTGAACAATCCTACTAGTGTACTCTTACTTGTAAAATAGAGGCTATGGGATTATAAATTAGTTGTGTGGGTTAAGTAAGTTTGAGAGGTGAAATATTGTTGGTAAAAGATGGTGACTGTTTCAAGAGAGACTTTTGCCCTAATCCTTCTACAATGGCTTATTAACGTACAATTCATGAAATTAAATTGGCCTATATCCTTAATAACGGAGTTAATTATATACTCGACCCGATCGAGTGTTACAACTAATACAGGTATAGTAAAATAGAGTAAAGCGAAAAAGACTACTCATTAATACGGTTGCTCAACATCATTTCTACTAAAGATGGTATTTACCCAGGGAAGTCACATCGGTAGGCCTGTTATTTCCATGATTAGGCCAAGCTACTATTTTCCCTTTATTCAATAATTTTGCAGTTTTTTTAAAAAAAATAATATTTTATTTCCTTCCTCATAATTTCACATAACAAGAAATTCACATAATAAGAAATGATCACAATAAGTAATATAAAACAAGATTTTTGATACAAGACACTTTATGAATTACATCAATAAATGAACAACATAGAAAAAATCTCAGATTATACATGATTCTATTTTGTTTTCTTGCATGTAACAGTGTATAATCAAAATATTGGAAAAGAAGCCTTATATACTGCCCTCAGTGTTAATACGTCTTCAAACAGTATTGGTCTGCTTCCGCGGCTTGTTCAACGACATTGGTATAAAAGCCAGCTTTCGGTCCAGAACCTTTAACATTATATCTCCCGCAAAGCATGTGGTATATCCGTTGAATTGAATAATAAACCTACATCGTTGTGATCTGTTCGTGCAAGCCCAAGACAGACTTCGGGTGAGTAAAATAAAATAGCTAAAATGATCAGCTCTAAGTTAATCTCGATATATATAATTAATATTCTCCAAATTTTATCGATAGCTCTACTGAAATTCAGTCTTATAGCGCATTCAATAAATTGAATACAATTTTGCCCCCTCATATTTAACCGCATGATTGAGTGGAAAAATAACAATTATTCGAAGATTAAAGTGTTGTTGACATATTATTTTCTTCTCTATCACTCTAGAAACTAAACTCTTAACCCGTTGACTACTGAATTCTCTAGTTCCCATAGGCTTAATACAGGATACCACCCGGTTCCAGTCGACAATGGGTTAAGCCGCCATGTAAAAAGGGCCGAAGAGTTACTACTTTTTCAGAATGGTAGATTGTCACTTTGAACATGTTGGATCCAACACTAGAAAGGTTGAATTTAGCATTTTAAAACTTTTTAAACTTACATTTTAAAAATTTGGACATACACTCCTCGGACATTTAAAAATGGTGATTTAACATTCTAATTCGTAGCTCATTTTTGTAAGAAAGAAAACAAGAGAAATTCTTTGAAATAAATGATTTGGAAAAAATGTTTTTCACTATCATTGTTCCTCATCAGCCCATTGACGGTAACAAAAATGCCATCATAAGCATTCAGTACAGTACGGTATGTCCCGAGTGAAACCACGTTAACTTGTGGGCCTAAGGATCGGCTGACAATTTATAGAAATCTGCTTTTAAGATTTCACGTGATAAAACATGGTTTAATCGCAAGAAACATAATTGGATACGCATTCCCCTTTTAATTGATCTCAAAGAATCATTTATTCATATATTTTTTGCCTCCTTTGTTATAATTATGTTGCTAATGTTTTACCTGTACTATTTTATTTGTTTACTGTTTATCATAGTGCAATTGAGAAATAATTATTTTAATCGATCAGTTCAAGTATTTGTTACTCTAATGACCCTAAAATCAATAGATAACTTATGTTTGTAATTCAATCGTAAATTCTTCTTTAAGATATAACAGAACATGTGTAAAAGGGAAAAATTACAGTGATTCTAAAGGGGGGAAATTGCAGGAGCCATAAAGATTCAGATGCCTGCTTGTAGGTCTTGCATTATATATTTTTCCAGCTATAGCCTACATTACAATTATATAGGCCTGTTAAAGGCACTTGGTAATATTGTTCAGATGAGAGAAAATGGTGCTTAGGTAGTGACTTCAATGCTAAATGTACACTTAAAGATAATCTGAAAGTTAGAGTGAAAACGGACCATTCTTAATGATAAAAATCGGGAAAAGTTGATCTGATCGATTCCTTAATTCTCCCAACTATATTTTTACAATTCAATTAAATTTTAGGTCAATGTAAATCGTCACAAAGCAATGAATTAGTTCTAAATATACGATAAACAAGTGTTGAAAGATTTTTAAAAGCCTTTTTTTCAAGGAAAAACGGTTGGGACAATTCAAAATGGTTGGGAGAATTTACTGTAAATCACTGTTAGAGGGTGTTGCACAGTGACGCCTTCAAAGAAAACCATAAATATCTTTGTCATGTGAGAATTTTCTCAGGATTGTTTGCCTGTTGAATAGAGGGTATTAAGTACAGTAAAAGGAATATAATAAGTAACATTTCATACAAAAATCACACTTTTTTTTTAAAATCAACCTTCAAAAATGTCACCGAGTCACTTTAATGGACCTCAAGAAGGTCCTACAACATTTGGTTACATTTGGATTTTCACTAAAGTTGAGTGTAGGCCTATCATAAACATGTATATATCTCGCGTGTCATCATATAGTAGACTTCATCTTTGATACTTTCAGACTCCCATTTAGCCGTAAAGGCTATAATGAAGGTCTGAGCGTTTCGTTCACATTCATGTTTTCTTAAACCAGCTAACAAACAAATCGTGAAATTGATCATTAACAGAATGAGTCGACTGGACAGCTCTAAAATGGATATCCAACATATGAGAGCCGTTTTGTATTTCATCGGACTGTTAATGCTGGTAAGTTGTGTGCAATATTGCGGTTTGAAAGCAATACAAGCTATTATATCCAGTCAACTAGACGCATGCAGATATAGTATAGTATAATATGGTTCATATCGCTCATGTCTTGCACAATGCCATTCTATGGCGCTCTAGTAATATTACCGGTTTTAAACACGGCTGCAAATACAGCGCTCAAGCTTTGTAAGAAATTAATTCCTGCTAGATACCCATATATTTGTAGCGGAGTTATAAGCTGCCATGACGGAAAGGTCGGGGGCATGCTGATGTAAATTTATCTCACCTGAGTGGGGTGTGGCAAATGTGGATTGATGTATTGTCAAAGGACATTAGTGTTGAGGAGGGAGGAGCGGGGTGTGGTACATGCAGTCATGAAGATATTATTTTGTAAAATGCCAATATTCGGGTAAAACATGTTGTAACTCGTTAGCGATGTTTAAAACATGAAACGTATTTTTGATATCTTATCTAGTGTATTTTGATTAGGAAAAAATATACGGTTCATAATTAAGTAG